AGGGCTTTGCGAACAGCTGGTTAAGATGGTATATTAATATATAAATTTTTGCTCCCCTTTTGGTAGGATTGGCGGGAGCTGTGGGTGGATGACGCCATCTGGCGGTTGCTGTTCTCCATGATTCTCTTTGTCATCATGGTTCTCTGGCGACCATCCGCGAATAACCAAAGGTTTGGGGACACTTCTTATTCAAGCTGATAACCGCTAAATGGATGTGTTATCAATTAGGCGTGGTTCAGTGAGTGACACTGTTAGGGCTGTGTCATATAATGGAAGTAATACTTTGTGGGTCCATATTTAGGAAATTGGGCTTATGTACTATTAATTTGAGTTGTGATTTTCAACATGCTGCCTCTCTTTATCTCTCTGAGCCTTAGTTTCCTTTTCATATAATGAGGGGGGAAATTGTTTCCTATTGATATGAGGTCCTTGTCAGTTCTGACATCTTCTGTTAATATTTGTACAGGTAAGTAAAAGGGAAGTAGATTGTGACAATTGTAATGAGGGTATCACCTATCTACTTTCCAGGAGGAAAGAACAATTTGTATAGTTGTTAGCTCAGCTTACTGTAACAACAGAAAGGGTAAAATGAGAACTTAAGTGACTGTGGAATAAAAATTGATATGTGAATTTGCTTTATTTTTGGGCAAATCTCAATTATTTAGGAGTTGGCTGTCTTTATTTTGTTATTAGCCACACCTTTGTTTTCCTTATTTTTCTCCTTTCTTCTTGTGCTTTAGACAGTTGTGAGTTTATATTATATAGCTGCACCACCAAAGAGGGAAAAGGTTGAGATGGTATAACCAACGGTCTGATGACCCTGCTTTACATTAGTTTTTTTTTTTAATCGATAGACGTCTCATAGATTTATTTCTGTGTCATGTTATGTATTGATATATGTATGTATACTCTCTTTTTATTGTCAATATAGAAATTTATTTGAATTCAAAATAACATGGTTATATTTGGATATTGAGGTCCTGGTGTCTGGATGTCAGCCTCCAGCTTCTGGTTGTGCTGGAATGCGAAGCATGTCCACATACAGGGCCTTCCAGATGCCACACGTTCTGCAGAACGCAGGCCTCCACAGTATTGCATGTAGGATATACTTGCCTTTGGCAGCCAGGCTGACGATTGATAGGTGTCAGAACTTATCCTTCTGAGCCTCAGTGAGTAGGGGAAGATTCTGGGCTTCATCTCAGTGGTCAGCATATGTCCCGCAAGCAAACGCCATCAACAGCTGCAATGTGGAAGCAAAGTTCCCCTTAACCAGCTCTCTAACGTTAGGCATACCCAGCAGTTCCCCAAATATGTAGACATCAGCACCTGGTGGATGAATGTGGCCAGTGCTGCCCCCTTGACTGACTTGGCCAGGAGCAGAAATTGCTCTTGGTTCTCCCTTGTCACGTTTATCTCAGCACTCGTGGCTGCACTGAGCTGAAGGGACCTGGGCTCAGGAAGTGTTAAACTTCCATGTGGCTCTGCCTCCTTTCTTAATGAGGCTGCGCAGAGACCAGGGCCTCCTGCCGACTGCCTCCTCATACTCTGGGTCAGACTCTGCAGGCCACTAGCTTGGAAGCTTTGTCTTCCAGTGTACTGCGCAGGGCCACTGCTCTTATCATTTCTGGCAGCTTCTCAGTCTTCACTGCCACCTCCCTCTACAAATTGATCTATTGATCTTCTGCTCATTTGCTGGCTATATCTATACACAAGAATTTTCCCTTTCTTCAGTCTTTTAAAAAAAATGTTTGCTTTACCTCTCTTCCTTTCTCCTTTTTTAAAAGTACATTGTGCACACTCCCTATAACTGCAGTGTTAATAGCCTAATGTGATGTATTCTTCCACATTCTATTACTTGTTCACATTTGGAATCTTCTTTTACTCACTCAACAGTGCACTGTTGAATGCATGAGATAACTGGTTTAAATTAAACCATCTATTTTCGTGGATGGCATTATATATATTACATGGTACAGATGTACTACAATTAATTAACTTGTTTCATATTGATAGGCATTTGGACTATTTCCACTTTGGGTGTTTCAGGGTTTACAAGGCCACATATGTTTAAAAGGACTCATGAGACTCAGTATACAGTTGTACTTTTTAAAAAAAATTGATTAATTGTTATTTATTTTTGGCTGCACTGGGTCTTCACTGCTGCACAAGGACTTTCTCTAGTTGTGGTGCATGGACTTCTCATTGCGGTGGCTTCTTTTATTGAAGAGCACAGGTTCTGGAGTGCACAGGCTCAGTTAGTTGCATCTTGTGGGCTCTAGAGTGTGAGTTCAGTAGTTGTGGAGCACAGGCTTAGTTGCCTTGCAGCATGTGGAATCCTCTCAGAACAGTGTTCGGAACCCATGTTCCCTGCATTTGCAGGGGTATTCTTAACAACTGGACCACCAGGGAAATCCCAGAGCACAGTTTGTTACAGCAAAATGGTGAGATCAGCAAGAGAAAAAGACACAGGTAGAGTATAGAAAAATCCTTGTTTGCTGATGTTCTTCGCCTCCTCTAAGGAAGTATTTATACATCATGCATGCTTCTTTTCCCAACACAAAAAATACAGTAATGTTTCTGCCCATGGAAGACCATTAGAGACTCAGCACTCAGGTTATTACTGGCGCCTGGCCATGTAAGCACCTCATATCTTCATGCCTGCCAAGTGTCTTCAGTCATATCCGACTCTGTGCAACCCTATGGACTGTAGCCTGTCAGGCTCCTCTGTCCATGAGATTCTCCAGGCAAGAATACTGGAGTGGGTTGTTATGCCCTCCTCTAGGGGGTCTTCCCAACCCGTGGGTCGAACCTGTGTCTCTTATGTTTCCTGCCTTGACAGGTGGGTTCTTTACCACTAGTGGCACCTGGGAAGCCCCACTTTGTACCTAACATGCACCAAAATTCCAAAAGCCCAGAAGTAAAGCAAATTTTATTATAGATTGCATTGTACAGACAGCCTAGGTACAGTGGCCCACCTTAACCTAGGGAACAGTTCAAGTACCAAGTTACTGGACATCAGTCATGGAGCATCACTGTAAGTAGGTCCTTCTAAAGGCCTGCTGTGAATGCAAACTATTATATATAGAATGGATAAGCAAGTTCCTATTGAATAGCACAGGGTACTATATTCTATATTCTGTAATAAACTATAATGGAGAAGTATATAAAAAAAGAATGTATATGTATATAACTGTATCACTTTTCTTTACAGAAGATATTAATACAACATTGTAATCTATACTTGATAAAAGAAAAATAAAAATTATGGTTACTTTAAAAAAAAATCCAGCTTCAATCTAAATAAATAATGGCTTGTAAATAAATAGTAAATATTACTGTATTACTGTAATAGTAAATATTGCTATAAATAAGTACCTTTTATGCACAGGAACATTAAAAATAGGAATAAGCTATAAGAATGTTTTAAATACCCTTGTACATTTTACCGACCCAAACTTGGGCTTGTTGCCTGTGTACAGTAAGGTCCATCTGCTGACCCTGGGTGGTGGTGAAGCGAAGTACAGTGTTTATTGCAGAACGCAAGCAACGAGTCCAGGCAGCTAGGCTTAAAAGACCCAAACTCCCCTGTGGTTTTCAGAGAAACTTTTTTTTTTTTTCTTTTTTAGCTCGCCAGGCTCCTCTGTCTCTGGGCTATTCTAGCTAAGAATACTGGAGTGTGTTGCCATTTCCTACTCCAGAGCAGAGAAAGGTTTTTAAAGATAGGGGGTAGGGGTATGGGGGCATGATCAGCTCATGAACATTCTTCTGATTGGCTAGAGGTGAGATAATTGGGAGTCGGTACCCATCAACCTTCTGGTTCCAACCAGTCTGGGATCTATCGACTTTTGGCAGCACATAGTTCCTCCTGGTGGGGGGGTTTCAATATCTGAAAAACAGCTCAAAGGATATGGCTTAGACTATTATATGTAGCCCATAAGGAGGAACTTAAGTGTCTTTGACTTTCTTAAATGGCTGAAATATTATTGTTTTGTCTTGCTTGACTGTTTTCCTTTGCTTCCGCATTTTCTCATTTCTCTGATTGAATTTTTTCCTTGGGAACTTGGGGAAGGCCTAGGAAGCTAAAGTTTTTCTACAAACAAAAGGCCAGCAGAGGGTTTGGAGCCAGGGAGGAGGGAGGCAGCGGGGGGAGGACTTATCCCAGGAAGATCGTAGAGGGTCCTGCTCAGTTACATACATTTATTTTTATATCCTCCAGTACCCCTATGCCCCATTTTTTTCTTTCAGTGCACTTATTATCATCTAAAATGTATATACTTTATTTATTGTGAACTATCTACCTTCTCTTTCCATCCCCCACCCCTCAAACCAGAAGTATATTCCACAAAGACCAAGAAATGTTCCTGGCTACATGGAGTTAGCCAAGCTGCTGAATCTGAGGGAATGGTCCCTATAAACTGTCTCCAGTTTTGACACACAATTGCAAGTTCAAGGGTTTGCAGAACCAGTTCAGATTTGATAATTCACTAAAAGGACTCAGAACTCACTGAAGGCTGTTGCATTCATGGCTATAGTTTATTACAGAAAAGGGGTAAACATTAAAATCAGCTTGGAGGAGAGACTTAGAATACAGAGTCCAGGAGGGGTCCAAATGCATCTCTCCCAGTTGTCTGCTCCCCATGGAGTCACAGACGGTGTTCCTTCCTCCTGGTTGCACTGTGTGTATGCCGATGACAGTACACACTGATATTGCCCGCTGAGGGAAGCTCCCCCCGGCCTGTGGGACACTACTGGGGTTTGATTGCCTGCTGCCTGTATGGCTAACCTTCAGTCTCCAAGGGGGCCTGGAGGTCAGGCTTGTAATCTTTAGTTGCTAGTTCTCTGGAGACGAAGTGATATTGTGTGCCCCAGAGTATGTGCTGTGTTTAGTCACTCAGTTGTGTTCGCCTCTTTGCAACCCCATGGACTATAGCCTGCCAGGTTCTTCTGTTCGTGGGGATTCTCCAGGCAAGAATACTGGAATGGGTTGCCATGCCCTCCTCTAGCGGATCTTCCGAACTCAGGGATCAAACCCAGGTCTCCTCCGTTGCAGGTGGATTCTTGACTGTCAGAGAGCTTAACACAAATCACATTATTAGACTATCCTGTGGCCACAGCCAGAGTGGGTAACCAGTGACACTCATATCAGGCAGGACATGCCAGGAACATAAAGATCACCTCCTGCTCTCTCATCGCGCGGCATGCCTTCAAGATGGCGCCGAAGAAAGACAAGAAGCCTAAGAAGTCAACCTGGAAGTTTAATTTGGATCTTACTCATCCAGTAGAAGATGGACTTTTTGATTCTGGAAATTTTGAACAGTTTCTGCAGGAGAAGGTTAAAGTGAATGGAAAAACTGGAAATCTTGGAAACGTCGTTCACATTGAACACTTCAAGAATAAAATCATAGTCGTTTCTGAGAAACAGTTCTCTAAAAGGTATTTGAAGTACCTTACCAAGAAATATCTTAAAAAGAACAATCTTCATGATTGGCTTTGTGTGGTTGCATCTGACAAGGAGACCTATGAGCTTCGTTACTTCCAGATTAGTCAAGATGAAGATGAATCTGAGTCTGAGGACTAGATGATGCCATCCTTTATAGGGCTTTGCTTGCTAATAAAACACATTAAGCATACAAAAGAAAGAAACATCTTGAAATGGACCTTTAGCTTATCGGTGAATAAAAAACATTACTCTGTAAAACATTCATCTTTTATTTAAGTGTATGCTGTTTATATGGTGCTGGCTTTCCTTTAATACTTTTTTATATTTTTATTGGAGTGTAGTTGATTTACAATGTTGTGTTAGTTTCAGGTATACAGCAAAGTGAATGTGTAAATAAGCTTTTGTCCACCCCGCCCCCTCCAAATACTTTGTATAAGCAGTATTTAAGTAGCTTATAGCTAGTGGAATTTCAGGATTTCTGTAATGTACTGATTTTACAGATGTCCTCAAGTTAAAAGTATATAACAAAAATACAATTTGGGGTGTTAAGTATATAATAAAATATTTAGACTTGAAAAAAAAAAATCACCTCCTATTAGTCAGGGGCAAAGACTAGGTCTCTCTGTGTATACAAGGTGAATTTTTTTTTTCTCGTAATATTTATTTATTTATTCTTCTATTCTTTTTTTTTCATTTATTTTTATTAGGTGAAGTCTAATTACTTTACAGTATTGTAGTGGGTTTTGTCATACATTGACATGAATCAGCCATGGAGTTACATATATTCCCCATCCCAATCCCCCCTCCCACCTCCCTCTCTACCCGATCCCTCTGGGTCTTCCCAGTGCACCAGGCCCAAGCACTTGTCTCATGCATCCAACCTGGGCTGGTGATCTGTTTCACTATAGATAATATACATGTTTCGATGCTATTCTCTCAAAACATCCCACCCTCGCCTTCTCCCACAGAGTCCAAAAGTCTGTTCTGTACATCTGTGTCTCTTTTTCTGTTTTGCATATAGGGTTATCATTACCATCTTTCTAAATTCCATATATATGTGTTAGTATGCTGTAATGTTCTTTATCTTTCTGGCTTTCTTCAGTCTGTATAATGGGCTCCAGTTTCATCCATCTCATTAGAACTGATTCAAATGAATTCTTTTTAATGGCTGAGTAATATTCCATGGTGTATATGTACCACAGCTTCCTAATCCATTCGTCTGCTGATGGGCATCTAGGTTGCTTCCATGTCCTGGCTATTATAAACAGTGCTGCGATGAACATTGGGATGCACGTGTCTCTTTCAGATCTGGTTTCCTCAGTGTGTATGCCCAGAAGTGGTATTGCTGGGTCATATGGCCAAGGTGAATTTTTAAGAACACACTGGCACATAGCATATTCTCAGTACTAGTGAGTGCCTTGGGATTGCCGGGATGGTGAATTTTTGTTAGTTACCCTTTAACAGGTTATAGGTGTTCCCTATTATTCCTAGCTTATAAAGAGTTTATCTTGTAAGGGAGACTTTAAAACAGGAAAATAAAAATAATAAGCAACAGTAAAATGAAAAGTGCAGAATGAGTTCACAGCTAAGCATTCTGAGAATTACCTATCCAGTAGAAGCTTTGCTGAACCTCTTGCAAGTTTCAAAGGAGAGATAAATTACTTGGAACACAGCACAGTCAGACTTTCCAAATCATAACTACCAGTTTGAAGGCTGAAATTTTGAATTATATGCTTACCCCTGTGTGGTACATAATGCTAATAAATGAACATTTTTTGAGTGCTTACTGTGAAGTATTGTTCTAAGCCTTTATTTGAATTAAGTTACCTGCTTTCTTTATTACAGTGATGTTCTGTGATTATCGCCATCTACAGATGAGGAACCTGGGGCACAGAGAAGAGTAGGGAACTTGTCTAAAGCCACAAGTAGTCTGTGGCTGAGCCTGCACTCATAACTATGATACTGTCCTACTTCTCTCTTGTTCAGAGCAGCAGTTGAGAGCTTTCTGAAGGGAAGGAACTGTTGTGTTATTCTTGAAACTGATATTATGAATGACTGTAATTGAAGTTTCAATAATTAGTCCTGTAAAATCCAGATAGTGGAGTAATGTTTTTCCTTTTCTAATTTTTTCCTTCTGTTCTACCTTTGTTCTGTCAGGTTTGCCTTTTCACCATTGTCTGAGGAAGAGGAAGAGGATGAACAAAAGGAACCTATGCTGAAAGAAAGCTTTGGTAGTGATAAAATTCACCTTTTATTTGTGCTTTAAATAATCTTTTCTGGTTTTGGTAAAGTTAGAGGAAAGCAAAAGTAAGGGTATCAGTATTTAGATGAAACCATGTTCAGTGAATAATGGCACATTAAATATCCAGTTTACTTGCTATAGATGAGATGAAAATTTTACTTTGAACTTTCCAGCAAAAATGTAAAGATGAAGAAACCTACCTGTAGTATAATTTAGTGTCAGTAAGCTTAAAATGAAGCTCTGGATCTATTTTTGCTGTCAGTGTGGTTACTGGCATAGTTAACCATATCTACTTTTTTTTTTCTTCTACAGAAGGAATGAAAATGAGAAGTACCAAACAAGAACCAAATGGAAATAGTAAAGTAAATAAAGCAGTAAGTATGACATCTTTTCTTTTTGCCCTGTCCTCTAGCCCTTGGTGGAGTTCAGCAGTTATGTATAGGTCTTAGTGATTTTTTTAACCTGTTGTATAATTAACGTTTTTAAAAACAGAGATAGCAAAAAAAAAAAGAAAAAAAAATTTAAAAAAATAAAATAAAAACAGAGATAGCAAGAGATTCTGTCTGGGACCTAGTAATCTTTAACTAGATGGTTTGTTGCTATGTCCTAAAAAAGTTCCAGGCCATACTGATGGTTCTGTGTAATGGTTTTCATCAATGAAGTCATAGCCTCATTAATAACCTAAGGTGGTCTTTTTTGTAGTAAAGATCAAGATTTTTTCAGAACTACAATGAGATATTACCTCATACTGGTCAGAATGGCCATCATAAAAAAGTCTGCAAATAACAAATGCTGGAAAGGGTGTGGAGAAAAGTGAAACCTCCTGCATTGTTGTTGAGAATGTAAATTGGTACAGCCACTATGGAGAACAGTATGGAAGCTCCTGAAGGAGTTGCCATGTGATCCAGGGATCTTACCTTTGGGCATGTTTTCGGACAAAACATAATTCAAAAAGATACAGGCACCCACCACCCCCTCCATGTCCATAGCAGCACTCTTCACAATAGCCAAGACATGGAAACAACCTAAATACTCATCAACAGATGAATGACTAAAGATGATGTGGTACATATACGCAATTGAATACTACTCAGCCATAAAAAAGAATGAAATAACACCATTTGTAGCAACATGGATGAACAGATTACCATACTAAGTAAGTCAGAAAGGGAAAGACAAATACCACATTATGTCACTTAAATGTGGAATCTAAAATATGATACCAGTTAACCCGTCTATGAAAGAGAAAAGACTCATAGAGAACAGACTTATGGTTAGAAGGGTGGGGGGAGGGAAGGATTGGGAGTTTGGAATTAGCAAATGCAAGCTATTATATATAGGATGGATAAACAGCAAGGACCTACTATATAGCACAGGGAACTCTACTTACTAGTCTTCAATGGCCTATAAGGGAAAAGAATCTAAAAGCAAGTGGATATATGTATCACTGATTCACTTTGCTGTACATCTGAAACTAACACAACATTGAAATTCAACCATACTCCAATATAACTTTAAAAAAAAAAATCCTCTGATAAACCATAATGGAGAGAACTGAACACTTTGCCATATAGCAGAAATTAACACAGCATTGTAAATCAACTATACTTTGATTTTTTTTAAAAAAAGATCAAGATTTTTTCAGTCAGCTTTTTTTTCCTTCAGAACTGTGCATTCACTCTACATTTAAAAGGGCTTTAGAATTTATTTTATTTTTAAGACTCAAAGCTTACATGAAGTAAGAACTCTAGGTATTACACTATTGAAAAGAAAGCACTTAGGGATATAGATACTATTTTACATTTCGTGTATATAGTTTAGTTTTTCAAATTAAATTATTTGACTTCTGTGTTTTCAGCCCTGTTATGTGAATATACTAATTCAGAGTGACAAAAGATTAAGTTGACCTCTTTAGATCTTTACTTGAGATGTATATTTTGGTGCATTTTAGTAACATCCGGCATTTATATGTTCTTAGCAGGAAGATGATTTAAAGTGGGTAGAAGAAAATGTTCCTTCTTCTGTGACAGATGTGTAAGTTTTTGAATCATTACCACAAGAATACTTTTTCAAAGTAGTATTTTATTATTTTAAATAAGTTGAGCTGAAGAACATAGTAATGAGAATGCTTGTAGTTAACTCTGGAAGTAAAAAATTAAATTATTGGAAATAATTTAAAGTATTAAAAACATTAAAAGATGTTAGAAACTAAAAACTAGGAATGATGTATTAATACAAATGAAAGTAATCCAGATTGTTCATTCAGATGACATTTCTGCTCAGAAAGATTTAGCTATAGGTCTTCTTAAAATCAGTGGGATAATCCTTTTGGAATTTTTGAGTTCCTTTTGATGTCAATAATGTTAATTAAACATTTGTCCTATTAAAGTCCATACAATTTTAGTAACTGATTCTTGTGGGTTTTTTGGTCTTTTCCTGAAATGTCATTAAATTGTACTCATTATTCCACTATCCTTTATGAACCATTTATGGCTTTATTTTACATTTATCAGTTTGTTTTTCTCTCTGTAGAGCACTTCCTGCCCTTCTGGATTCAGATGAGGTTAGTAATCAAATAATATACACATAAACTTTGTGTCTCGTGGCTTAATAGGCAGTCATCAGTCTTTTGTTCAAGAACACTGATTTATTCGACTCAATAATGGCCTGATTTTGTTACCTACTATCAGTACTATCTGTGTCACTATCTTACAGATAATAAGGATAATTAGTATACTTCTAATGTTTATGTTGTTGCAGTCCATGGGGTCATGAAGAGTCGGACACAACTTGAAGACTGAACAACAACAAAATGTTTATGTTGATTTTTAGTTGGCTCCATACACTTCATCTAGAAGGTTTCTCATGAAGTCTTATATCAGACTTGTAGTCTGAGTTCATGGAAACCTCTTCTAGACATGTTCTGAATGTTTAGGTTATCTTGATTTCAGAAAGCCTTTTAAAAGCCTTTGCCCAATTGTGACTTACTGTATTGGATTGACTGTTAAAAATT